CTGCCTGATCCACGCCACGGCTGCCAGATCGCTCCCAAGGTAGCGGAAGTCCTCTCTTTCTATGGTCTCACCATGGCCGTCCACGATCAGGCTCTACACCCTTCGAAGCTTAGGAGCTTGGTCTTCTTTGACCAGCCGGAGCCCACCTTCTGCCAAGACATTCTGCCATCTCTGCACCTTTGGCTTGAAGTGCCTCCCTGCTATCCGCTATCAGAGCTATGTCGTCAGCGTAGAGGATGGTCTTCAGTGGTCCTTCCATGAGGTCCTTGACCATGGTATCGAGCGTTAGGAGGAACAGGAAGGGGCTCAGAGCTGACCCTTGATGTACCCCAACCGTGATGTTTATCTCCTTTGTTAGGCCGTGAGGGGTGCGTATGGCTGCTTTGGCTCCTTCGTACGTGTTCTTCATGTATGCCGAGCATCTGGCACGTTACGTTCGCGTGCGCGCCCTCCAATAACGCCGCGATAAGACGGTCGAACGCCTTGCCAGGTCGAGGAGCTAGGGCAGGTCGGCGTTTTCTCTCTATAATACTTTTCATCATCTGTCTGGCGATGAAGATGGCGTCCGTGTAGATCTTTCGGGCATGAACAGTAGTGTTCAATAGTATTGAGCACAAAATCGATATACCATTTTGCACATGCACTCTCGAAGACGTGTTGCAGATATGTGAACAGGCTCACTCCTGACGTGCGAATTGACGAAATTTTTTCCGAAATCCCCTGACCCCCCTCCCTTTACCGAACAACCGTTTTGACGCTTCCCAAAACTCCTTTTCTCTCACGGACCCAAGTAATAGTACCCCATTTTGACAGATGGTGCTGCCGCTTCTGTCTTATATTTATGTCCGGAGCGTCGACGCTGTTCATATGAAGTGTTTACCGCGACCGGATAGTTTTACTCTTACCCCACAATATATCCAGATGAATAAATACAAGAAAAAAAAAAGAAAACCACGTGCCAGAAGAACAAGTGAACTCGATTGCCGATCGTTACGATGAGATGACGACAGGAGCGACGGTTGCATAACATTTGCCGAATTTTGCCATGTAAGTTTTATCCCCGGGGGCGGGGCTTGTCAAGGACGCAAAGGTTTGCACCAGAGCGCGAGAGCTAATTTAGAGCATCCACCAGTTTACAATATTTAATCATTAAATTTGTTCTGCAAATAGCGATGTCCGATTTTCTTTCCACGACTGAGATATCATATAGAGCCAGTAAAAAAAAAAACAAAGTAAACATGGCTTCTATACTCAGTAGAATAGTGATGTCCAATTGAATATGAGTACTGGTATGAGTCGAAACACGTTCTGTGAGTTGTCCTGAAAGGAACAGTTTTCAGGCCATGGAAAAAACCGACATCGAACAGAAAATGTCGTTTCGTTTTCTGACGTAACAACACATGAACTATGGATTGAGAGTATCAGAGTTCAAAAATCGATATCATTTATTATTGATTGATTTATTGGTTTCAAATAAAGTGTTCCTGATTTGAGTCCTGAGAAAGTACTGTACGATGTGTTTTAACTACACATAAAATTCTTATGCAATATGCTGTTTCAAAATTGAGGCCAAATTAAGAAGAAAGACACAAGGTTAAATTTCAGGGCATATTATTGTCACCGTCTTCTGGTTTTCGTGCTTCCTCCGGAGGCTCGATGGCGGTCGTTAAGTCTTCTGCTGGTTTTGGCTTCTGCAGCGGCGTTTCGACCGGCCGTCTTCAGATCCTCGCGTCAATAATCTTCAAGATGGAGATCGCGACCTATCGTTACTCTGCGCACACCGGGAGTCGATCGTCACGCGTTTCAGGGGACTCGAAATCCCCTGCCGCCGGCTGTCTGGCCTTTTTTTGTGAATCGCGTTTCGATAGGTTTGCGATCGACCGAGTTTGTGCGTAGCAATGGTTTTGCTCGGTTTGGTGCATGAGTGGCTGGTTTCGTACTGAAACTGTTCTTAGGCGGTGCCGGTAGTTGTTTTTGATCGAGCTTGGACGTGACGGCAGGCGTTGTACCGAAGATGCTGAACGGCAGGTTACATGTGCGATCTTGAAAAAAAAGTATTTCTTAGAACCATATCTTAAAAACGATGGCTGGGTTCTGAACGATTTTGAACTTGCAAGTTGGCCGCTATCAGAAATATACGAAGGCTTCTCTGGAAGTAAGACCTAGTGAGCAGAAGCTCCTGGGAAAATGAAAATGGCTTACATAAATTGGAGTCTCTCCTTCCCCGCGTAAGCTTGGTCCCATTTTTAGCAAAAAGACATGTTTTACGTTTTTAAATGCATTGCCATCACAGTGTCCCCGTATATTGCGATAGCCTTTGCTTATTAAACTTCCAATTTCGTGAGTGTCACTCGCCTACTGGCGAAGAGGTTACTGATTCTTGAATGGCAGAAAACGACTATATCTGGGTGGGAGTCACTGGGCCAAAGTGTGCGCTTAAAACTGCAAGGTCCTCTTATTGCAATCTTCTGAGTTCCAGATAAGCTGACCGCTTCGCAACCGCCCGCTTAACGTTCATGCATAGTGGTTGCTTTCTAAGGCGAGCTCTCTAATAGCTAGAGTCTGAAGATCAGTTTGAGTCTTCACAAATTGAAACTCGAACGATGGTATTTGGAATCGAGGGAGCCAGTAATTCTACAAACACTGAAATTAATATTTAAGTAGCAGAAAGGGGGTTACCAGTTGCTCTGCCTTCATCAAGAAATATCAGGATAAGGGGGTAAGGCATTTGTGGAAAGAGGCAGAAGGATAGTGCCTTCGTTTGTGTAGCCAGTTATAGCTCGCCCTAGCCGCGCATGCCGCGGGAAGCCTTCCAACAGAATGACAATCGTTGAGCTCTTGGAAAATTACCTAGAAAGCTTAGCTGCTTCGGTGTAACTGTTTTACTTCCGCTTGCAGAATAGATGCCATCTTGGCTGTATAACTGTTTGATAGTCGAGTTGCGGTGCCAGCTGATAAGTGATGGACGTAGAACAACCATCATGCATCGAGTATCGAGGTAATTTAGCGGTCGAATGATTTTTGTAATCTCAAAACGGAATGCCCAGTATTCATTATCGTATTTATTCGAGCATCCCATTCATCCTCAAGAAATCTAGAAGGTGTAGCGGTCGAAAGGTGTTTGAGTTTACAATTACAACGCTAATGAAATGATATTGAGATGAAAATGCATTATCTGCAATCTGGTTTCAAGTGATCTCTACGTTCGTACGCATATCGTAATTATCAGTCCTCATCAGTCGTTATCACTTTTTGACCCCCACCAAATATGTTACCGTCCCCCCCTATATCATGTCCCAAAATCAGCTCCTGACGACTGCTGCGAAGCGCACTATGAATTTCGTGAAATTTGTGTTTCAGCGCCTCTTATCTGCTCTTATCAGTCGTTATCACTTGTGACCCCCACCAAATATGTTCGTCCCACCCCCTATATCATATCAAAAAATCAGCTCCTAACGACTGCTGCGACGCGTGCTATGAATTTCGTGACACACGCACACACACACACACAAACAGACAGACATAGCGTTTTTAATATACCAGTTTAGCTCCGCCCGCTACCGCGCGCATGACACGGAAGCCTCTGACAAAACTGACAATCGGTGAAGCTTTGGGTTTCACCGCTTAACTATAGCTGCTTCGTTAAATGCATTACTGTCCGTTGCCCATCTTGGCTGTATCTCACTGTTTGATAAGCGCAGTGAAGTGCACAGCTAAAGTGATGTATGTAAACAACCACCATGCATCGAGAATCGAGGAAATTTAGCGGTCGAATAATTTTTGGTAATCTCAAGACGGAATGCCCAGTATTCACTATCAAATTTATTAGAGCATCCCATTCATCCTCAAGAACTCTAGAAGGTGTAGCGGTTGAAAGGTGTTTGAATTTACAATTATAACGCTAATGAAATGATATTGAAATGAAATGCATTATCTGCAATCTGGTTTCGAGTAATCTCTACGTTCGTACGCATATCGTAATTATCAGTCCTCATCTGTCGTTATCACTTTTTGACCCCCACAAAATATGTTACCGTCCCACCCCCATATCATGTCCCAAAATCAGCTTCCTGACGACTGCTGCGAAGCGCACTATGAATTTTGTGAAAATTGTGTTTCAGCGCCTCTTATCTGCTCATATCAGTCGTTATCACTTTGTGACCCCCACCAAATATGTTCCCGTCCCACCCCCTATATCATATCTTGAAACCAACTCCTGACGACCACTGGTGCCCGAGCTATGAATTTCGCGACACTTGCGTTCTAGCGCCTTTTATCAGCCCTTATCAGTTGTGATCACTTTCTTTACCCCACCAAATATGTTCCCGTCCCACCCCCTATATCATATCTTGAAACCAACTCCTGACGACCACTGGTGCCCGAGCTATGAATTTCCGGTCAGACAGACAAACACATACACACACACACACACACACACACAACCGCTTAGCCGATTATATATAGTAGGATATTATCCTTCATTTTTTAAATAGGCGAGTCGCGGATGAACTTGCATCATTTTATCTAATAAGCTGAGGAAAGTTAATAAGGAGAAAAAGCAGAAAGCATTATAGAAAACACTGGAACTTTCTCTTGAGGTCGAACGTAGACGTAGAGAGACGAACAGGCTGCGAGGAGAGGAAAACAGCGAGGGCAGGTCGTGCGCGAGAGGTACAGGACTACGTATGCATTCGGCGGTGTTGGAGCATAGCTGTGAGTTGCATTGCGGTGAAGCAATGCATAACCTTCTATTGCGCACTTCTAGTCGCACGCGCATGTGATAGTCCTTCTATCTCATCTCACTTCGCGAGGGGAGGGATTTATCGTGATCGTCGCCGTGCCGTGAGTAAAGAGGAAAAGAGTAAGGGAGTCTTAGGATGTCAGATCGTATTGGGCGGCTCAGCGCATCGTCTAATATGACTGCATGCAGCTCGATTTCTCTAATTGCCCTTAGAACTGTCTCATAGTAGCCAATTTCGTGCGTATGTACGATTGGTTTTGATTCTACTTGAAAGGCAGCCGGATTCGTCAGGCACTCCCGAGCGTTTATCATAACTTGCTGAAAAATCGAGGTTATCAAAACGAGAAATCGATAGTAATGAGTTTTTATGTTCCTACGTTTAGCAGTGGACCAGAGCTTCCAATTCGACTCAAAACTGCAGGCAACACCCTCCATCGGTGTCAAAGACATGACTGTAATCAAATTGTTTTGCTATGCAAATTCTGGAGATAAATCGATATATTGATCGAGTCATGCTCACATTCGGGATCTTCTGTTTCCTTTTCGGGTTTGAGTTTTAGCGCCGCCAGAGTCTCGAGGAACACATATTTGACTCCGTTCTGAAATGCAATTCCTTAACTTTTCATGAACCATATACTGCCTCGAACATCCTGCTGTGTTAAAGCAGCGGTCACAGTGGAAAAGGTTCGTATTGGAAAGCGTGGACCGCTCGCGAGGGGAGAAATAAATGGTGGTCTTACGGGTCCTGCCTTGGTCTGCATGTCCGTGGACAGTCGGGGTCTAAGCTAACAGCATCTGGAAAAAACGCTCGCCAGTCTTAGTAAGGGCGTGTCTGTGATGCTGAATCATACTTATGGCGCTGTTTCACATTATGCCTATGATTTCTCAATAATCGCTTGAAAACTGACGTCCATGGCTCAAAGCCTGATGAGTAGAATGAGAGCTCCTTTTCTAAGGATTTCGAAGGTATTTTGTGATTTCTCCTTCGCTATCCTACCGGTTGGCCCCTCCATTTTCATATTTGATTGATACACAATTATGCTGACCGCTGCTCTTAATTAACATAGTGTACATAATATTAAGAGCTTAACCCCTACGATGAGTCATTTGAAAGTAGCGGTTTTTTATAGGTAAGCCAGGTAAAGTACAAAAAACTCACCATTTGCTTGGCTGAACATTCGAGATATCGCAATGCATGCATCGAGTTTTTTAATCTTTGTCCGAGATCGGGATCGAAAGTCTGAAACCAGTGGGTGAGTCACTGTCAATGGGCTAGGTTTTTTTACACCCCTCCCCCTATTGTACGAGTTGTCGTGCTGATCGAGTTGAGCAAGCTAACGAAAAGAAAAACTACTGAACTAACCTTCCTCAAGTCACATTTGGTTCGAACGAGAAATAATGGCACGTGAGAGAAAAAGAGGTTAATCTTGGAATACCACTGAAATAAAGCTTCATTATTCACGACATCGTCGAAGGTAAATGATGGACCTTCGGCTGTTGATTGATTTTTTGAGAACGCGCCATGCGTTCATCACTCATGCCATTTCTCCCACACAATGATTCATCGCAAGACACTGGGGTTGGGGGCAGGGTCGACCCTACCGTTGGTACTTTTTGGAATTTTTTTACGACCCCCCTCCTTCATGGAGGATTTGATACGACCCCCTTCTCCACCCCGACCACCACCGTCACCATCATAACTGTTTCTATAGCATTTGATTCTGAGACCAGTCGACACAGCCCGACCCACTTTTCCCTCCAAACAGCCGTCAGGGGGAAGGGGGTATTTCTCACGTAATACCCCAGTTTCACATGTGATTTCATGGGGCTAAAGCGAGTACGACCCCTCCCACAATCTGAACCAAATACGACCCCCTCGTTGGTACTTGTAGCAACGTAGGGTTGACCCTGGTTGGGGGAGTATTAGTCGCTCACAGTGAAAACATGTCAAATCAGGAATCTAACGAAAAACATGCTAAAAATTGTAGAATTTGCTAGCATTTTTGCGTCACGATGCCCCTGTACCTTGCGATAGCGCCATCGACAGCCAAACTCACGTATTCTATAATTCTTTTTAAGGTCGCTGGTGATTCGTCATCGAATAGAAGCAGAATGGCGTGTGCGTTGGTTGCATCTGGTGGTAGCAATCGACCGATGTGGAGCTCAACCATCTGGAATCCGTTGTTATGCTCGGTAGGTCTCACCAAAGCGTCCATTTATACGCCTGTCTTCTTGCAGACCCGCCCCTGGGTGGGATTGTGGAATTAGGGAAAATCGAACTTTACCAGAGGTAGGGAACTGGCCGAGTTCGTACTCAACGTTTTGGGAGATTGGGAGATCAGACTTAAGGGATTCAACGGAAAAGATTAGATAGTAGAGTGGGAGATTGGGACAGACGAGCTTCCAACCAAATCAGTTATACACATTCAAGCGTTTTACAATCTCCTAATCTTCTGATCTTCTGAATTTCGTTCGTTTAATCGATACATATCTTTCTCAGTATGTCTTGGCCTCCTAATTTCCCATCACATTGAGTATGTTGCGGTCTGCTTCAACATGAGGTATCACTCTAACGAAGTGTTCTGATTGCGATATCTCCGTGCTATGAAGACACACGCTTGTTACCCTCTTAGTTCAG